AAAAAATATATACTTAATTATCGGTGGGTATCAAAATCATTGATATCCTTTTGGATTCTTTCAAGCATCTTATCTTCTACAAACCTACCAATCATTATACTCCAACAATTTCTGTTTATTAAATTAGTATGTGATATATCCTCCTTAATTTATTCTTCTTATTATTAATTTTTAATATTGATTTTAATTGATAGCAAGTTTTTAATAACATTGAATGGATTAACATGTTGAATCATTCTTTCTTGAATAAAATAAGAAAAAATAGTAAAATATGAGGTGCGGGTCCACCTGATGAAATTGCATCTGCGTCAGTTATGATCATTCATCAAAATTACCAAAATGCCCTCGACCGCTAGCTGTCAACAACACCAACCGCGAACCCCAATGTACAGCAACGGTCGTATACGTGCATTTTCCAGCTGTACTCCATTTAACTTACTTTCTCTTTTTCGAGGTATAATCGCATCTTTTCTACGATAACTTGCGCTGAGTCGCTACATTGCGCCATCGTGTCACCCTCCTTTATGACCCATGGTCTGAAACCATTCAGACATGCGCATTTTAGCTTGCTGCACACATTGCATTCGTCACAATTCACACACCGTGTAGTGTACGCCCAGTTTTATTCTCAATAAAAAATGGATCGATGAATTTGTGGTTACAGAAAATGCCAAAGTCACATGCACAAAACGACGTCGAAACGGCATGTATAAATTATAATTATAATATAATGTACTATACTATTATAAATTTATAACCAAAGGTTTTCAGCTTTTACACACGTGCGAAGCTCTGAAGAGGAAGCGGCGGAGAAGTATAGGTTTTGGGTTTAATGTCCGAATTTCCGATGGAGACGATGTCCTCCTCCTTGTTGTTGCAAGTTCCTCATGCTTCGGATCGCCAATACATCCTTCTTCTGGATCTCCAGAAATCCGATGTCAATTGAATCTGCCAAATTTTACGGGAAAAAAATATAATTCACTGAATCAAACTTCGAGAGGAGATGTTTCTGATTAAAGTCTATAAGTAATTGTAAATCAAACAACATTTGCGGTGTAATTTGATAGTGTACCTATGTCGGCGTTCTTAGATGAAAGCGTTGTGAATCCACTAAACGGAGTTAAATCTGAAGTGTAAAGTTAACGGTATACAGAGAAATCGCCAAAAATTAGAATACACTTGCAATTAGCAATAATGTCGTCAATCGATTTACAATGTAAAATTACCTTTTCGGGAAGGATCGTGGGAGGATAGGTAGAGGACTAGGAAGCATAAGAACGTGAGGAGTGGAATCAGGTGAACTAGTCTCGTAGAAGAAGATATTAAGATTGATTTCTGTTGATAAGGCTTCTGTGACTTGTGTTCTTCGTCGACGTCGGAGGCGCCGGAGGAAGACGATGCTGATTTGTCCTTCCGGTGATTCTGAAAGTCTTCTGTAATGAAACTGTTGCTAATGTCGTCCTTGATAACTCCGGCGCCGGCGAAGATGACTCCATGGGTGAGAAGCTTTGAAGCAGGTGATCCTAGTGACTGACGGTGCATGTTTACTTGAGAGAGAGAGAGAGAGAGAGAGAGAGAGAGAGAGAGAGTATTTTAAAGCGCTTTGCTTTTTTTTCTTCCTTTTTGTGCCCGTTGTGCCCAACGAAATTAAGATTATTATGGTAGGGTCTATTGGCATTCACCTTTTTCTCAAGACCCCTTGAGGCTTACAAATTAACAAAAACTACCCTTAAGAATCTAATCCTTTTGAAAAGCTACTTTTCGCTTGCTTTATTTAACCAATACTTTTTAGTCATGAACGGATCATATTAAACGGTGCATAACCCATGTAATCAACATATTTGTTTGGTTTTTATGAAATCATTGAAGTTGAACGAATCTCCATGGTCACAAGTTGCTTGGAAAATTTGAGCATGTATAATTATTGTTCCAATGATAGAAGTTTAGTGGTTGATGTGAGAAATCTCTTATACAATTGTTTCAAGATTCAAATCTTGATAAGTCTTAAAATATTGCTTATTTTCTGTGATCTGAATTGAAAACTATTGTATTACTTGTTGAGTTATGATGATGACCATATATACTTCTTTAAAATTTGTATAAATATGATGTGGTTTGAAGGTTAAAATAAGTATAATAACTATATTTGATTTTTACTCTTTTTTTATTATACATATCTTACTTTACATAATGTGAGAATAAATAAATAGATATAAAAATAATGAATATAAAGATCATTAAGTGATAAATAAATTTGAAGAAAGATTATACAAAGTACAAGAGCAAATTACGAATTCGTCCCTAGGTATTGATTACTTTGTAGGTTTAGTCCAATAATTGCAAATGCAAGTCCAAAATAGTTTTAATATAGTTATTAATCAAGTCTAATCTTCTACTCAATCAAAGCTTTTTTAAATGTCATATTGTGGATCACATGATAAAGCTAATTGTACATTTTACACGCTTCGTTTTCAATCTATATTTTATTCTCGAAATCCTTTTTTTTTTCTGAACAAAAATTATGAAACTCAAAAATGAAAAATCGAATGAACTTTAATGACTAGGCAAACAAAGCATAATCATTAAGACGAGACCGTATGGCATAAAGTTGCTCGTTATGGCCGACATGACAAGGCCACAACAGCGTTGTAACGGGGAACACCCCCTCCCCCCTTCTCGTTATAGCTCTCACAACTAGAAGAAATGAGTTGAATTTTAATTATTAATTGTCGACCGACCGTTGTCAACATGTGATTTAAAAAAAATTAACTATTAAAAAAAATCATTTATCCTATAAATACCTACCATTTTATAAATATTTTCACAATTTCTCTCTTTCTATCTTCAAAAAAATTATGGATCCTTTCGACTCGTCCGATGATTCCGATGATGATATATTCTTCAAGATGATGTATCATTATTACACTAACGAGCTGCTACAACCAGACTCAGCCCTGCTACTAACAAGACGAGCGATGTTAAACAGAAATCGTAAGGAATGACACGAACATCTATATCGCGATTACTTTGCGGATAATTGTGTATACGGGTCGAAGGACTTCATAATGAGATTCCGTTTGGGTAGGAATGTGTTCCTATATATCGCCAATGCCTTGGAAAGTTGGTATCGTTTCTTTAATCTTAATACATATTTATTATACTTTTATACAAAATAAATACAAATGCACTACATATTTCTTTAACTTTAATACAAATGTACTATATTTTTAAACTGTAGTTAATTTATGTTTTAGGTATGAATTTTTTCAATTGAGATATGATGCTAGAGGTAGATGAGTGTTTATAATGTTGCAGAAATGTGTTGCAGCCATTCGTTTGATGGCTATGGGGGAGTCACCCGACATAATAGATGACTATATGAGAATGTCCGAAAGAACCGCAATAGAGAGTTTGTATACATTGTCAAGAGGTGTTGTTGAAACATTTGGAGACGTATATTTGCAGAAACCTTCGTTGCATGATTTGGAAGAATTGTATGCGGCGCATGAAGAACGCCATGGGTTTCCCGGAATGATTGGAAGCATTGATTGCACACACTGGAAATGGAAAAATTGTCCAGTAGCATGGAAAGGGCAATACGCAAGTGGTCATCACGAATCGCCTTCGTTTGTTTTAGAGGTTGTTGCTTCTCAAGATTTATGGATTTGACATGTATTTTTTGGGGTTGCGGGCTCCAACAACGACGTCAACGTTCTTGATCAGTCGTCAATATTCGACGATCTTTTGAATGGAAAGGCTCTGAATGCTCCTTTCACAGTGAATGGAAACGAATACAAATATGAGTATTACCTTACAAATGGAATATATCCTCAGTATTCCACATTCGTGAAGGCATTCTGACACCCGGTTGAAGAAAGAGGCAAAATTTTCAAGAGAAGACAAGAAAGAGCACGTAAGGATGTGGAACGTGCTTTTGGAGTGCTAAAGGTGAAGTGACACATAGTTGAACATGCGGCACGACCATTGGACTTAGAAATTCTACGATATATCATGTATGCATGTATCATAATGCATAACATGGTAGTAGAAGATAATGGACGAAATATTGCACACTATATCCCAACGCAGCTCATACACGGTCAATTTCTACAAGGAACAGCCGAGTATTTGCATAGAGTCGTTGGCATTTAGGACGCAAATAAACATAGACAACTTCGAGAAGACTTGACGGATTATATCTTCCACGGTAACGATAATGAATAACATTGTTTAGGAAAAATAAAATATATTTTTATTGTAATGTTTTTTTTTTCAATTTGGATGTTATGTATAATTTAAATGCTATGTTATTTTTGTAACACCCATAAAAATCAAGCCAATTTAAAACTTTTTACTGCATTTAAAAACCCTTAAGTGATTACAGTTTGTTTTCAAAATAGTTTGAACATCAGATGTAACACCCGGATTCCAGGTATGCTTTTAACTTAAGTCAATCTTATAATTTCACTCTTGGACTCGACGAGTTGATGGCCCGAAACATCGAGTCAGATCGAATCCGGATCGGGGAAATAAGTAACCTACTCGACGAGTCGGAAGACCGACTCGGCGAGTAGGCGCTGTCTGATGAGAACCCTAATTTCAAGGGTTTGTTTCCATATTTAAGGAACATAAAGCCCCTTTAGCCTCCCTTGTCACTCCTTCCATACCCAGAAAACCCTAAATCGCCACCTTTGAGTATTGTGAGTATTTGGGTGTCATTTCTTGTGATATCTTTTGTGTTGAAGTTGGGTGAAGAAGAGGAAGAGGGAAGACTTCAAGAAAAGAGTTCAGATCCAGAATCAGCATCACTTTCCCCTCACTTTCTGGTAATAAAACTTCCCTCTTGACTTGTGATTTCCTAGATCTTCTTATGGTTAATTTGGGTTAAGAAGCTTGACTCTTGAGATTTGGACGTCCCAAGTTGTTTCACCTTTAGATCTAGGACCTTGAAGGGTCCTCATGGCATAAAGGTGTCATCCTTAGGGCCATGAGAACCCCATGCATGCTAAAACCTCCATTTTCGGCCTTTTAAGCTCCATTGATGCATGCATCCACGTAAATTTCATAACTTTACGTGTTAGAACGACCTTAGAAGCCCAGATCTATCGTTTGGATGAGAGTTGTACATCAGAAATCGAGTTATAGACTTGGACATTAGGCGACTCGCCGAGTTGTTCT